ATGACGACGTTGTTGTGGCACTTACCGTTCTTGATGCAGACGTGTCCCCATGGCCCTGCTGTGGCGAGGCTTGCGCAAGCGGCAAACGCCGCTGGTTTCATCGTTGGAAGTATTATGGCGAGGGCAGCATCCATTGAGCGCCCGCACGAAGCCGTGGTCGAAACACCGCACCAAGGGCTTAGCACACGTGCGAACGACACCATTGCGCAGCAACAAGCCGTGATCCACGAACTAGTTGCCATCAACAAGGCACTTGGTCTACGTGTTGCTGCCGTTGAAGCACAAGTCGGTATTGGTGCGGCTCCAACACCTCCCATCGCCATGCCATCACACGAAGCCGAAGCCACCGTCCCATCGAAACGCCACAAGGCAGCCGCCACGTCCTTGGCAGACTTGTGGTTCGAGTGGTACGCTCGAGACCCCCCCATGTGGCAGGTTGGCGCAGACCGCAAGAAGAAATCCGAGGCGAAGTTGGTCGTTGGCTTCATGAAGCTTTTCCTCCACGATGGTCTTGAGTTGGATCCCAACGCACCATCCTATCGCGACGATGTCTTGCGCTTCGGATCGCTCGCCGACCAACGCGTCTTGAGTTTCATACACGACATTGCGCCAAATGTTCGCAGCAGTGGGTCGGTACTGCGTGTCCTGCGCGAGCAACACCGCATCGGGGCACTCAATACAAACATTGGGTTGTTCAATGCAAAAGTCACACAAGGTGGAATCAAAGACCCGACTCCAATTCAACATGTAGCCACCATATTAGTAGTCGACAACATATAATACATAACAATGACTGGACTTGAACCAGCACCTCTAGTGTTGCCACTAGTGCTCTCCCTGAGCTACATCGTCGGAAGGTCAAATCGGGCAAACAAAAACATACCATTCATACAACATCATAACTCATCATGAACACAAGTATAAAGAACCGGGGAAGTCATGGTTTCACCACGTCGTGTGGTAATGGAGCGTTCCTGAAATGGTCACGGGTCAGGCATCTCGTGGACACCACTCGAACATTGTATCGGCACGGCATTGGACACGGGAATGGGGTAGACATGGCGCAGATATCGACACGGGCTGGTCATGGGTAGGCACTAGGTGGACAAGCATCGGGGCAGACACTTCGTGGACATGCACTGGACGGACATGACGTAGCGATGGGTGGACATCGGGCTCAAGGCGTGGACATGAGGTCAACGCATAGGAGTTATACATGGTAAAACAAGTGTATACGTTTCCAAACAACATATATACAGTAGTAGTTAGTGTCAAAACGATGACTGGAATTGAACCAGTTCCACTGACTACAAAGTCAGTACTCTCCATAAGCCACATCGTTGACTATAAGCCATCCAGGTATACCATAAGAGCGGAAAGCTACAGCATAGGCAGAGTTATGAGCTCCCAACCAGACTGTGTGTGCCAATACTATAATCATTACGCTAACAACTTCCCCAGAGATGGGACGCGGAGCAACAAAGGCCCGAAGGAAGTATAAACACTCAAGGGGGTTAGCAGCAAACCATTTCCGCAGCACGAAACCGCTAGATAAGTCGCAACCCTGATTGCCCCCAAGAGCATCCCGCATAATGTATACACCACTAGACCCAGACGGCTATCACATCACAGTAACTACTACTACTAACAACATGGTGATAATGCAAATCATGGTAAACAATATCATTACGCATCATACACATGTAAGAACATAAAGGAAAGTCGACGTGGGCAAGCCGTGGGCAGGACGTAGCGCGTACATCTGGGTCAGCGGTGCGCACGGACAGTGGGCTGGAAGTGGACAGGGACGGGCTGGATGTGTGGCGGATGTTGTACAGGGGCGTGGATCGGTGCGTTCGGCTGGACGTCCAGTGGACACGACACTTCAAAATGCAAAGTGAGGGAAACCAACCAAAACTATATCCGGATACATAATCTCCTCAAAAGTGATTGTATTAAGTTTGAGAGGTCTTACTTTGCGGTGCATGCTCACTTTTCAATTTGCCAGCAAGAGCAGAGTGGTCTCCGGGTGCCAAACCCAATGAAAATCGTTTTTGTTGTTTTTCTCGGCCCACATGCCTCTATAGCCAAAACTGCACACAGAAATACTCACGTTGGTATCGGTCCATTCACCCAATAAGCGGTTCTGATAACCCCATCCCTCGTAGCCAGCCAATGATTGAGTGATCGAGCCCTATCCCTCGAAGAAAGTACATGCAATATCCAGATAAAATATTACTTCATGTTTGTATTGAACGCAACTATTTAAAATGAACGTGTCAACCCTAATTCCACGAATTCACCTATCAGCGCTTCCTTAGGAACCAGGAATATGTAACGACTTTTTCAATATTAGCCAATGAAATCGTTGTCGGAATGGATGTCGGATTCAATATCTTGTCGGAATATTCATGCTATCGATGAATATGATCAATATTCCGACCACTTAGTATTTGTATGCTCTAATTTTAGCCAACCAATGACCTCAGTTTCCTCCTTCACCAATCATATGGTACTAAAAATAAATCCTACATTAACCAGAAAAAGCAAGGTGAAATAGGCAATTTTGAATGCTGCGCAAGGCGAACCACCTTAATATTTGGAAAATCCTGCCAATGAGAAATGCACCTGACAACTATTTGAGAACAGAGTAGTAATTTTATAGCCATTCTTCCAAAAATTGCGAGTGATTCTTCAAATAAAATCAGCCGCCCAACCCAAAATTTTCAAATGTTCACCGGACTTGAAGAATGTATGGAGATTGTCTCAAATTTTTCGAAAACAGGAGGCGTATTCGGCTGTATAATATAATTCCCAGGAAGTTTTCAATGTAACTTAAATGTACCCATGTTACCTTCCTTTTGATTTGCTCAACAGTACTGAATAAGGCAATCTTTTTAATAAAATCGATTGTTTTCTAATTTCACAACTAATAGAATGCCCAAACGTGTCACTGATTTGGGACGGAGTGGAACTGCGGTATATATGAGGCAAGCACCAGGATACGCTAAGTCTGGACAGTCGCACCTCGTATGTCAATTGTTAAAGAGCATTTACGATCTTAAACAAGCACCACGGATCTGGTATAACCTTCTTCACGAATTTCTAACCTCCATTGGTTTTGAACGATGCAACAAAGTGTACTGTTTGTATGCTCAAAAGTGGGAGCTGGTATTGATGATTGGATCATCGTTGTAGTGTATGTTGATGACCTGACAATCATGTCACGCAACACTAAACTTGTGGAGAAATTGCAAGCAGATCTGAATCGTAGATTCAAAGTGCAAGATCTAGGAGATATTCATTATATCCTAAAGATTTAAGCCAAGAGAGATCGAGTGAACAAGACAATGTCGTTATCACAGACAAAATACATCAATGACCTTATGTTGAAGTTCAACATGCAAGATTCTCGACCAGTATCGACACCCAAATAGTGGGAGTCGAATTAGTAGCTGAAGCTACTATGAACCAAGATGAGACTGCAAGGCAGCCCTATGATTACAGAGGCTTAGTCGGATCATTGCAGTATCTAGTACGCGGTACTAGGTCAGATCTTGCAAATGCAGTCCGCGAGCTTAGCAAATTCCTACGCCGCTACAATCAATCGCATTGGGAAGCAGCACTGAGAGTTCTGAAATACTTGAAAGGAACATCAACGTATGACCTCTTGATTGATGGGATTTACGAGGTTTACACAGATGCATCTAAATAACGAACGTAAAAGTGTCACAGGCTATTGATTATGGTAGCTGGTACTTGTATATCATGCTACAGTAGCAAACAAGCTTGTGGTGCTATTTCTACTGCAGAGTCGGAGCTTATTGCACTAAGCGAAGGAGTAAAGGAAAGCGAATTTGCTTACAGAGATGGGATTTGCACCAACAAAACCTATTGTTGTATGGTGTGACAGTACAGCAGCGATTGCAACTGTGAGAAATCCTAGAAACCATAAGTCTACCAAACACATCGAAACCAGATATCTCTTTGTACGAGACTTGGTTGAAAAGGAGCGTGTATTGTTGCAATACTATCGAACAGATAATATGTTGGCCAACCTATTTACGAAGTCGCTGCCACAAAAGCAGTTCGAGGTCATACGACAATCTATGGGCGTTCGAAATGTTGCATAGAATGGCTACATGCACATCATTTACAAACCACTGCTAGTGGGAGTGTTAAGTATATCCGGAAAATACTGTGGATTTTCCTTTGATAATATATGTGTATTATATTTGGTAGCGCAGTGGCTTGTGTTAGTATGATTGGATAATCATCAGCCAATCAGAGTTGATTATTCTGATTGACCAATCAGATTCAGCTAGTTTGATTGGTTTCCTACTGTGTTCATTTTGTGGCTGTGATGTGATGCTAGTGACACTGATGAGCTTTAGCTCCTCACAACTCAATTACCGTCCCAACACACTGACCCCGTCTTCATTGTGTTCATCCGTTGCACTTGTGTCTTTTTCTTTGTTGTGTGCTCGCTCAATTTGATCTGATAACATCAGGTTTACGAGGTATATACATCGGCCTACAGTCATGAACGAAGGATCCTGACGTCACGAACGCGCCATAAGTGACTGTCGACCTGGTTTTCAATTCGCACATCAACCTGAAGGATGATGTGCGAATTAAAAACCTCGCCCAGGGCGAATTGATGGTTCCAGGAGAACTTCGCACCGAGTCCAAGAAGGGGTATGTATCCACCCTTATCCACCGTATGAATTATCGGGTCCGATATGATGTTTCAGTTGGAGATTTCCGTAAATTACTGCTTAATTCATCACTTTAAAACGGGTTTTGGGCAAGGTAATTTGAGCCGCTATGTTGCGGATTTCCAAAAAGCGGGGCCGATATAACATTTTTATCCTGATAAACCGTTGAAATGTCACAGGCAAAAACGCTTTTCTTTAAAGCGGCCTGCTTACCGTTGCAACTCTGTGATCCGCAACAGCAAGAAAACGTCCACGAGAAAAACGCAGATTAAACGTCCTTTTTGGAAAATCTGCAACACGCTTTAAGACCCCGATATGAGCCTATTGTACCTGTTTCGGAACGAGAAACCCTAGATAATTTATTCACCTAAAGCGTTTTTAAATTTGTCGCCATTTTATTCTGTTCAAATTCTATATTGTCCGCCGGCACCGCCAGCAGGCGCGGACAACAGACTTAGGCGACTCGCTTGAGAGCGTTAGTTAGATATGCACAACGATACTCAGTAGATCACACACATACATCATTCCTGTAGCTAGGTGCTAGGCCAAAAATCGCATTCGCGGAGGCATTCAATTTTTCATTATACCATACTGTTGATGAGACAGTGGTTCATTCAGTATGCCTGCAAGCATCTCTTTAGATGAACAATTATTTAAGCTTATTTTGTTGTTTTCAAACAGTTCTAACATGCCGACTTGTTGGCCGCTGAACGCAACGTTTACGTATGTGGCCAGTCGACTGTTCACGATTGAGCTGCTGGAAATGCTGAAAGGCATTGGAATCGACGGACCCAATGAAGTGTTTGTCAGCATGCCCGCAGTGGCGGCGAAGTTCGTGAAAAATGGGTGCCTGCACCCCCACACACCGTACCCGTTCGTGTCGATGGTGATCGAGGACGACATTGCGGGGTTTCGGAGAAGATGGACCCTTTTACTACAGTAATACGAAACGTTTAGGTGTATACTATAGATAGTTAAATCGGCACGTTCTATTTTATACAGATTAGAAATATGAAATAATGTAAGATAAATAGCATTACTGAAATCAGCAGGGGGCATATCCATCGCTTCAGAGGTTCCACACGCGCCCACTTAACCCTTGACATAGGAGTTCCAATGTCGACAAAGTGCTTGACATTAGCTGGGCTATTCTTTTTAGCTGGGTGATTCTTTTTGCCTAGAAGGCATTTGGCAAGCCAACGCTTCCCCCGCGGGTTTGAAAAGGAAGCGTGGGAATAACATCGAGCCGGGAGGTTGCTGGTTAATCGAGCTTGGGCTAGCGTTAAGCGCACCAAAGAGGCTTTTCCATTTCAGGAAATGTGTCGCCGTCGCTTTGTTGACTTCCGACTAAATAGATCACTAACGACTTCGAAATCAGCTATACGAATCGGTACGTTGAACGTTTCACATGTTCGCGCATCCATTCATGTATCAAACACCCTAAACAACCGACATGAAAATTCAAAAATGCGCGATGGGAAAGCACCTAAACTGCAAATTTCGGTATGAAATAAAGTATCCAGGGACCTAAGAGCATTGTTTTTTTGTTTTCCGAGCTGTTGAATAAGTTCCGAGACATATTTTAAGTCTCTTTCACATGACCAAGACATGTCATAGCATTGCCGATTTAACTATCTATAGTATATACCTAAAAGTTTCGTATTACTGTAGTAAAAGGGTCCATCTTCTCCGAAACCCCGCAATGTCGTCCTCGATCACCATCGACACGAACGGGTACGATGTGTGGGGGCGCGGGCACCCATTTTTCACGAACTTCGCCGCCACTGCGGGCATGCTGACAAACACTTCATTGGGTCCGTCGATTCCAATGCCTTTCAGCATTTCCAGCAGCTCAATCGTGAACAGTCGACTGGCCACATACGTAAACGTTGCGTTCAGCGGCCAACAAGTCGGCATGTTAGAACTGTTTGAAAACAACAAAACAAGCTTAAATAATTGTTCATCTAAAGAGATGCTTGCAGGCATACTGAAGGGGTTTCGGGGTTGGAGAGGAGGTGCGATGCGATCCACAGAACAAAGGAACAACTTGTTTCCAAAGGGGTGAATTAAGAATTAAGCAACTACGGGAGCGCAGCGACCTCCGCGCGTAGCGCGCACGCGCGCAGCGCGTCACGGGGGT